TTTGTCAATCTGTTTTACTAGTAACAGAACTCTCTGTTGCAGGTTGACAGCATTGGGCTATTGGCTTAAAATTAGCATCAGTATTGTATTAACCTGTCATATGGTTATAGATGGTTATTTTATTACTGGCTAAATGGAAAAAAATGCTGAGATTCCTCCATCCACACAAGCGAGGTTGATGAAGGATTCCCCCCGCCAGGACATTTTAGTCTGACAAAATACTGAGTACACTGATCAGCTGCTGCATTGACTGACAATAGTTTTCCAGCATGTCCATTCAGCTGAAGTCAATCTAATGGTAAACTTCTGTAAAACAGGGAGAGCTGCACACAGATTGAAATTCAGCAAGTCCTTGCTGTACTGGCCAAATTTCAATCCCTCTATGCCCAGTCTTGGCCATTGGGCTGGCTATCAGGTCTGTAGTTGATATGCGAAGACATGATAGGCATCTGAACGGCCAACTGAAGGCATATGAGCACAGCACGCTGACAATGCTGCCACTAATTGTGAAGCAGTGGCTTAGTGCTATCAGCCTGGAACAGGCAATTTTGTTTTTTACTGACATGATACTTATGTAAGAAGCTTTGCAATAGCTTCAGAAGAAATTATTTGCAAAGCTATATAAAGTGAGCCATTATCCCAAACATACTGAGAAAATAGGAAATTTGGCTTGTAAATTCCTTATCTTGGAGTACAGTACAGGACACAGGACTTGTTAGACTGTGGGTTATATGCAAGCACCTTCAGGTGATTGGACACCAGCAAAAACTTGATAGAGCTGGCCCCAGAACGCAATTATGCAACCCTGCCCACCCCGTGAGACTCCAAAGTGATCATGACACAGAGGGGAGAGGCTGTGTATTGTACTTCAAGATGGCATGCAGTGTTTTTATGGTATAGGAGCGCTGAACCTTGTGGGGGTTGGTTGTGACATAATATGTGCTATGTTGTACTGAAGGTTGCTCACTGACAACTGTGGTGTCTTGATGAACCCTGGGGCCTTCGGTCAGTAGGTCTGGTCTGTTTTGAAGAGGTCAAAGCTTGTCGACCAGAGGTGTGAGTTTGTCTCTCTGTGTACCATGTTCTTCTGGGACAATTTGGTGTGATGACAATCACTGGAACCCTTTCCACCTCTATGTTGCACAGAAGTCAAGGAAGGATCTTCTGAGAGAAGGCATAAACCAGCTTGAACTGAGCCCAAGCAATCACCAGAGCGTTCACTGCAAAGGCTAGAAAATCCCTGGTCTTGGTTACAGATTTATTTAGCTTGTTGATAAACCTGGAGGCTATGATGTCCACGTCCTGTTTACCACACCTTTGATAAACTTTATGAAAGATCTCTGGGTACAGAAGCAATTTTTCATGTCCTAGGCATTGGTGACTTATTAAGTTCATCTGCCAATGGTCCGCTCCAGGGATATGGATAGCCAGTAGGGTTGGAATGTGAGTTTCCACCCAGGAGAGTATTTAGACTTGTTTATTTTAAGGCAGCCGGACTTATGGTAGCTTTTGTGTGGGCCACTGCTGTGGAATCGTCTGACTGTACCGTGATTGAATGAGCTGAAGTGAAACTGGGAAAAGGCAACTGCTTCAAAGGAGGCTACCATGAGGCCTAAACCCTCATGCAGAAGAGAATTGGGGATGATGTTTTAACCTGAGAATTCTTTTGTGGGAACTTAGGGAAGCAACTACCTCTAGGGAAAGGAACATTTTGACTTGGACTGTGTTCAGGATTAGACCCAGGTACTCCAGATGGTTTGCCAGTGGGAGAACAGACTTTGGAAAGTTTGAAGGAACTAAATTGGTCTCTGAACATTGGTAGCAAAGGTTGTAGCTGAAGAGTCATTCAGTAGGAGGTTGTCCAGGTAGCCTGTGACATGAATGCCCTGGGTTCATACAAGGGTCAGAAGCAGGGCATGAAAATGCAGGGTGCAGAGGGGAGCCTTAGTGGTAATGCTACACACAGAAATGTTTTACAGATTTTAGTCCAGTATTGGGTGAAAGCCACAATTTAGGTTTGGCACTGTGAATAGGTTTGAAAAGAAGCCTTGGAACCCTTCTTTGAAAGTACCTTTGAATCTGAAATCTTTATACCTGAAGTTGTTTTTTGGGGTCTAAAGCTGGAAGGCAAAAGCAAGGAGGGGGCAGAGATAGAAACCCCTTTGAAGTTACAGATTAGACCCAGAAATCCAGGGCATGTCGCATCCAGACTAACTCAAACACCAACAGATGCCCCCCCACCTCCACTCTTAAAAGTACGTGCACCCCTTCATTGTGAGGAAGGTTGCTGGGCAAGCTTGGTGGGCCTGGGAATCCAAGCAGGTTCAGCAGACCAAGCTTTTAGCCACAAAATCCTGCGGATATGCACAGAGAAAAGGGACATTCTAGTGACTTGGCAAATCACATTTTCTAGAGCAGGGGTACTGAATTAAAATTCAGGTCCAATCAGTAAAATTTTCTTCCAGCAAGATCTAAATTACATATTTGTGCCATCCTTGACATCACAGCCACCCTTCTCTTATAACACAATCCCGTTCTTACATCAGTGTCCTCAGTCCCCCCTGAATATCAGAACCCCCCACTTTACATCACAGACCCCCAACTTCATGTCACAGTCTCCCCTTCACAGCAGTGTAATTTGCCCCCTTCCCCCCCCCACACACAGTGGTGTTCTTTGTTCCCTTTTACATCACCCCCCACCCCCACGTACACACACAGAGCGGTGTCCTCTGGCCCCCTTTTTCACATCCCCCCCCAGAGCGGTGTCCTCTGGCCCCCTTTCACATCATCACCCCACACACACACACAAACACACACACACACACCACAGTGGTGGTGTCCTCTGGCCTCTTTGGACATCACATTCCTCCCATCCCTCTCCCCAGCCATGATGTCCTCTGCCCATTTAAACAGTATATTGTGTATACAGTGAAGGAAAGAATTTTTTGATCCCCGCTGATTTTTAATGTTTGCTCACTCACAAAGAAATGATCAGTCTAAAAATCGAATGGTAGGTGTATTGTAACACTGAGAGACAGAATAGTAACAACAAATTCAAAAGAAATACATGTCTAACAAATTATGCACTGATTTGCATGTTCATGAGGTAAATAAGAATTTGATCACCTATCATTCAGCAGGATTTCTGGCTACCAAGTACATTTTGTTACCTGTATAAAAGATACCTGTCCACAGGAGCAATCAAACAATCAGATTCCAAACTCTCCACCATGGCAAAGACCAAAGAGCTGTCCAAGGATGTCAGGAACAAGATTATAGACCTACACACGGCTGGACTGGGCTACAAAACTATCGCCAAGCAGCTTTGTCAGAAGGTGACAACAGTTGATGCAATCATTCGCAAATGGAAGAAAAACACAAAACAACTGTCAGTCTCCCTAGGTCTGGGTCTCCATGCAAGATCTCACCTCGTGGAGTGTCAATGATCATGAGAACAGTGAGGAATCATCCCAGAACTACACATGAGGATCTTGTCAATGATCTCCAGGCAGCTGGGACCACAATCACCAAGAAAACAATTGGTAACACACAAGGATTGAAATCCTGCAGTGCCCGCAAGGTCCCTCTGCTCAAGAAAGCACATGTCCAGGCCCGTCTGAAGCTTGCCGCTGAACATCTGAATGATGCAGAGGAGGACTGATTGAAAGTGTTGTGGTCAGATGACACCAAAATGGAGCTCTTTGGCATAAACTCAACACGGCGTGTTTGGAGGAAGAGGAATGCTGCCTATGACCCCAAGAACACCATCCCAACTGTCAAACATGGTGGTGGAAACATTCTGCTTTGGGGGGTTTTTTTCTGCTAAGCAAACAGGACAACTGCATGGCATCAAAGGGACGATGGACAGGGCAATGTACCGTTAAATCTTGGGTGAGAGCCTTATTCCCTCAGCCAGGGCATTGAAAATGGGTCGTGGATGGGTGTTCCAGCATGACAATAACCCAAAACACATGGCCAAGGCAACAAAGGAGTGGCTAAAGAAGAAGCACATTAAGGTCCTGGAGTGCCCTAGCCAGTCTTCAGGCCTTAATCCGATTGAAAATCTGTGGAGGGAGCTGAAAGTTTGAGTTGCCAAACATCAGCCACCAAACCTTAATGACTTGGAGAGGATCTGCCAAGAGGAGAGGGACAAAATCTCTCCTGAGATGTGTGCAAACCTGGTGGCCAACTACAGGAAAAGTCTGACCTCTGTGATTGATAACAAGGGATTTGCCACAAAGTACTAAGTCATGTTTTGTGAAGGGGATCAAATACTTATTTCCCTCATGAACATGCAAATCAATACATAATTTGTTAGACATGCATTTCTTTTTTTTTGTTGTTGTGCTATTCTGTCTCTGTGTTACAATACACCTAACATTTGATTTTTATACTGATCATTTCTTTGTGAGTGGGCAAAAACTGTCAGCACCTATGGTAGTGAGCTCTATAGATCCTCAACTTGGGGTTCCCCAGGGCGCAGAGTCTAAGCCCCAGCCTGCTTGTTTACCAGAGCCCCTGATAGTGGGGATGGACTTGCAGCAGGCTGAGACCAGGTTGCGGCCCCCAGGTACACCCAGCTGAGGTGGAGGAGACCGCTTGCAGGAGCAGAGTATAATGGGAGAAGACGAAGGGAATCCAATGGGCAAGCTGAGGTCAGGACAGGCGGAAAACAAGCAAGGTCGTGAACGAAGCCGGGGTCGGTACATAGATAATATAGGAATCACAGCAGAAACACACAGGAGCTCCAACAACTAAGAAGTTTCTCAGGCAAAGTGGTCTAGTCTGAGCACATCTAATATAGACAGGCAGACAAGGATGCGGGACAGGAAGTGATGGAAGGGAAGGAAATAAAACCCAGAGGACAGCAGACGACGCCCATAGATGAGCACAGACAAACACATGAGAAGGGATGGAACAGGACTGCAGCAAGAAGGTAAGAACACAAACAAAACTGCAGGCTAACATATGACAGTACCCCCACCCTTACAAGGTCGCCCCACTCTTTTAGGGCCAGGCTTAAGAGGAAACTTCTGATGAAAAAATTCCACCAGACGAGGTGCAGAAACATCAGTAGAAGGAATCCAACACCTCTCCTCAGGACCATATGCCTTCTAGTCAATTAGATACAAGAGCTTCCCTCTGATGAATTTAGAATCGAAGATTTTCTTGACTTCATACTGATCCGAAGTACTCGCTATTGGGGAAGGATGATGATGAGGACGGGAAAATCTGTTGATGATATACGGTCTCAGAAGAGAAACATGGAAAACATTATGGATTCTCAAATGTGAAGGGAGGCAAAGTTCAAAAGCAACAGGATTGACCTGGCAAAGGATGGTAAAGGGACCATTGAACCGAGGATCAAATTTCATAGAGGGTACTCGAAGACGGATATTCTTGATAGAGAGCCAAACCTTGTCACCAGGGAAAAATTTGGGACTCACCCGGAGATGACAATCTGCAGCTATTTTGTACTTGGAAGCTGACAGATGTAAGTTCTTGGAAACATTTGCCTCAGAAGGGGTAAGAATAGAAGAACATACGACAGGAAACTGGGCTGGAGCAGACACCAATAACCAGGCTGAAGGGTCTGGTGAGGAGGCTGCCAGGAAGAACACAGGAGTAGGCGTGAAGGCTTCGATTTGTACAGTGGGCAAGACAGGCTGTGCAGAACAGGAACCTGGGGTAATACAAGGGACAGAGGGCACTGTAGGATGTATGGGGACAGGACAGGGGACAGAAGGCACTGTAGGGTGTAGGGGGGCAGGACAAGGGACAGAGGGTACAGTAGCTACTAATGTGGAAACCACAGCTGGGTCCAAAGCAGCTCTAGGGAGTTTTGGGGTCTCAGCATGCAGGGCACATGAATCTAGGAACTCAGATGGTACAGAGGTCACAGATGTTGGGACCTCCACCCACCCAGAAGGTAGCGACATAAGAGCTCTAAGCTGCACTGTATGTAAAAGGACAAATGATTTGGGCACCAAAGATTGTAAGAAACTAGAGGTGGACAGCACCAGAAGGGGGCCCGCAATAGGAGTAGGCAGGGGAGCAGCTTTACTACAAGAAACATCTTGTAAGGTCTGGCAATGTTGAGGGAGCATCAGAGAGGTGGTGGCCTCAGCCACGGGTACAGTGCGAGGTGGGAACATCTTAGGGAGACAAGTCTGATCGCATTTTGACCCCCAAGACAATACTTGGCCAGAGTTCCAGTCAAGATTGGGTGAGTGTTTCTGCAACCATGGAAGTCCAAGAATGATGGGGCTAGAAGACTTAGGGAGGATCAGGAAGGAGATTTCCTCACAATGAAGAGCGCCAACATGCATATACACCAACATGGAGGTGGTCTGAAAGCGTAAAGGCCCTAAGGCCATCAACTGTAGATACTGATTGGGGAGTCATCAAGGGGACGAGGAAATCCACATAAGCAGAAACCTGGTACGAATTTAGGGCCCAATGAATGGAGACAGGTATGATAAATCGAGGGAAGGTGGCAGAATTCAGGTTCTGGTCTAGATCACCTCCCGCAGAGTGACCTTGACCCGAGTTTCCTAGGCAGATAGAACATGACTTTATTAGATGACCTTCAGCCCCACAATAAAGGCATAGGCCAAATCTTAGGTGACGCGATCGCTCTTATGGAGTAAAGTGTGTTCGGCCTAACTGCATGGGCTCTTCAGATGTCGGTACGGTTGCAAAGGTAAGTTGATCAGGGACTTTCTGGAAAACAGGAGCAAAAGAACCCACTGGAGGGCGACCCCATCTTGCCCCCATCCAAAGCTGTCCTGCTTCCCACTCTTCTGTGACAGCAGCGGAGACTGGGGAAAGAAGCGGTCTTAAATGGCAGGACCACAGCAGTCTGACGAATGGGACAGTGGTTTAACCATTTAGCGATGCCTATTCTAGAGTATCAATCCAACTCAATGTTGATGGTTTCGGCTGTAATTGTTCTGGCTAATAGATATAGCAACAGCTGCTGTCTGCAGGGGGGGACCTGCCAGGGCTAAGAAGACCTTTAATTGGGGCTGCTAGATTCCTATCAACAGAGTCCTTAAAAAGGGAACATTCTCAACAGGAATTGTATGGTGCTTATTGAGAATTGAAATGATAGGATCCACCACCTGAGTGCATTTCTTTTTAAAATCCTTAATTTATTTAAATTTCTAACAAAATTCTAATTTTTGGAACAAATGAATTCTGTGTGAAGGATAACTAAGGAGATCTCTGGGAAGCTTAACAATCAATGATTCATGAGCTGGTTTCCCTGCTTACAGTTGAATGTAAACAAAAGAATGCCAGCAATTAATTTTTTTTTTTAAATGCGTGGGCCCCCCCCTCATCCCTACCAGACCCTTTGGGTCTGGTATGGATTTCAAAGGAACCCCACACCAACCCCATAAAATCCATACCAGTCCCTTATCTGAACATGCAGCGTAACAGGTCAGGAAAGGGGAGGGGGGGGGGGTCAAAGCGAGTGCCCCCCCCTCCTGAACCATATCAGGCCACATGCCCACAACATGGGGGGGGGCAAAGCACCTTGTCCCCCTATTGATAGGGACAAGGGCCTGTTCCCCACACCCCTGGGCTGTGGTTGTGGGGGGTCTGCAGGGGTAACTTATCTGAATCTGGAAGCTCTCTTTAACAAGGGGGCCCCCAGATCCTGCCCCCCAAGTGAATAGGAGGCTCATTCACCAAAAAAGTGTAAAATGTGAAGAAAAACACAACAGTTTTTGACAACTCCTTTTATTAAGACAAAATGCAGCCGGAAGTAGATCCAACGTCAATCACGATGATCCCAAAGATGGAAAAAAAAAAACCAGAGCTCTGCTCCCACCGCTGGCTCCTGGCATCTGAGCTCTCCGCCGTCTGACAGTTCTTAAATAGCTAAGGGGCAAGGCCATCCAATGACATCACCTGTTGGCCCTACCCCCTTGTAACATCACCGACCGGGGACTTGTCAAAAAAATATTGTGTTTTTATTCACATTTTACACTTTTTTGGTTAATGAGTAGGGGGGGGTACTATGTAACCCATACTCATTCACATAGGTAGGGGGGGGGGCAAGAATCTGGGGGCCCCCTTGTTAATTGGGGCCCCCAGCCCGGGGTTGTGGGGAAGAGCCCTTGTCTCCATCAACATGGGAACAAGGTGCTTTGGGGGGCCCCCTTACCCCAAAGCCCCCCCCATGTCGAGACCATATGGCCTGGAGGGGGGGGGCACTCGTTCTCCCCCCCCCCACCCTTTCCTGACCTGGCTGCATGCTCGGATAAGGGTCTAGTATGGATTTTCTTTTTGGGGGGGGGCACGCTGTTTTTTTTTTTTTTTTTACATTTTTAGTTGCCCGCATTCTTTTATATACATTCAACTGTCAGCAGGAACAATGACTGACAGCTGATGAGTCAGCGGTTGTTAAGGATGCGGGGGCCGGCTCCCCAGCCCTCTCCTTAGCAACCAGCTATTCCTAACACAGAATTTGATTTTAATTGGTTCTGAAAATTAGGATTTTATTAGAAATTCAATAAATGAAACGAAATGTAACAAAAAAAAACTGATATTTTCCAATTGGTCAAAAAAAGAAAACTTGTACTCAAGTCGCCAGCAAAGTGTCAGGTAGTCACCTGGCAAAGTAGTACTGTAAGTCTTTTAGTTCGCAGTAGTGTGAACTGAGCCTTAGTTTGTCCACAATAGAGAACATTTGGCATGAAGCATGTACATCATAAAATGCAGGGGGGGAATCTAGATTGTAAGCTCCACGAGCAGGGCCCTCATATTCCTTCTGCACTGAAATGTATTGTAATTGTACTGTCTCCCTTATATTGTAAGGCACTGCACAAACTGTTGGCGCTATATAAATCCTGTAAAATAATAATACTCTTCAGGACCTGCTACAAATTCAGGATCCTCAATACTTTCCTTCATAATATCCTTAATAATAGGAGGTTCCAATTCTAAATCCTGAACAGGGTCGGAGGAATAGAAGATACTGTATGTTGTGTTACTGGCTTCTGGAAACCAAAGGTTCTAGAAGTGCCAAGAGTTTTCCAAAAATTCAAACATAGTGACAGAGAAATCTGCTTTTATTGGTCTACTGTAATTTATTATATCTCAACAGTTGATCAGATTTGATGCCTTTTATAACGAGAAGGAAAATTTGCAGATGTTTTTGAAAATATGGAATACGTATATGAAAATGTGCACTTAAAACATGTAAAGTTAGCAATTACTTTTAGGTATATTGGATATTAAAGCAAAACTTCACTGACTAGTTTTAATGCTTGTGCTGCTAGTATTAGTAAATAGGACATCATATTTACTTGTCATAAACTTTTTGATTACATTTCTTAAGTCACTTTCTGGTTTCCATGCCAAGGCAAATGATGTCATATATTCCAAGAGTCTTCAGGAGAGGAGAAGGGGCTTTCTCAGCTAGGCACACCCTCCTGCATGCATGCCTGAGCTAAGGACAGATGAATCCCAAGAAGTGGAGGTGCTCAATGCAGTGCAGTTCCACTTTAATGCAAAATGGTTTCCCCTTAAAGCATAACTAAAGGCAAAACTTGTTTTTTCTTGTTTTGGGCAGAGTTGAGAGGGATTGGAATATTTGTCAGGTTTTTATTGCTGCCTGTGTCCTCATTAGGGTGATTCACACGCTCTCATTTTGTCATGTTTATCATTATCATTGAAAGCGAAGGTAAAATTAAATCCCAAATTTTGGGTTGTCCGCAGAATAGTAATAGAGAGGAAATCTTCCAATAGGGACAACCAAGGATTTCCTCTTTGAAGGCATTTCTTCTCACTCTTTTGGTTACAGGACAGGACACAGAAGGCAAAAAATAAACCTGAGGGGGTTTTATAACCTTACGTTAGTCTATCCAAAATGACATGTTTTTCCCTTTAGGTTTACTTTACTCCTTTCTTCCTGTAATATTACCAGTGTAAAAACAGTATTATGTAACAGAAATTATTAATGAACAGTGTTACACTTTTACAGGGTAATTGTTTCATTTAATGTTTTAACATCTGTATTCTTTTTTCTATTGCTTAGGACACGAACTGCATTTGAGATTAAACTGCAGAGGACAAGTAAATCTACAGACCTCCGGATTCCATCATCAGTATGCACTATGTTTAATGTGTTGGTGGATGCTAAAAAGCAGTGTACTAAACTATGTGTTCTTGATGGTGGGCAAGAGGTAAATGTCCAAAGTGTATTTTCTTTGTTCACATCCATTTGTATTACTTAGTTGTATAATTTGCACTAATGGAATTTTTTGTGAAATTCTGGAGTATTTAATTGCGCACATACTTTGTTGGCCTTGTCTTTAATAGTATTTTAGGTTATAAAATTAATTTGTAGAACATGAACTCTTTTACTGCCACCAACGTATACCATACATTGGTGGCGGGGAGGGAGTTTATAGACACTCCTAACTGCTACAACAGCTGGAAGTGTGTGTTCACTGTACACTGTCAGCTTTCCGTAGCCTGGGACTGTACCCCCATCCCCGCCACGCTTCCTATTGACCCGGAACCCGAGTTGTGGGTGTCGCCAGGTAGAGGGAAAGGAGACCAGCAAGCATTTATTCGCTGATCCCCTCTAGCTGTAACAGACAAAGATAGTGAACTCTCCCTAGCTGGGATATAAGTAGCAATAAAAAAAAAACAGATGGGACTTCTAAATCCTAACCACTCTACCTAACCAAATTAAATGTTTTGACCCTTGATACATTTTTGGGTACAAAAAAGGTCTAACCAAACACACTTTTTTTTTTTTTTTTTTTTTTATCAGATTGGGAAGATTTAACACCTCTTTCAGGCTACTGCTTATGACCCCACTGGAGAGGGATTCCCATACACCATGGAGGTGATCTCTTCAGTAGTGTCACAGATAGTATTTAACCACTTCCCATCCAGCCGTTGTATATAAACGGCCGGACGGTGGCAGTGCAGGGTTGGGTAGC